AGAGGAGGGGAAGGGGGAGGACAGGGAGGGCGGGGGAGGAGCGAAGCGCGGGGGCAGCGAACACAGGAAACGTCGCGCCGAGGCAAGGCGACGGGCGGACAGGCGTGGTCGGACAAGATGGCCACGCGCAATCGCGCCCACACAGAGAGATCGGGGAAGCGTAAGACTCGAGTAAGCCAGAACTCGGGTTTGCCGCCCTTTTTTGGTGAGCGCGGCCTGGATTTTGACGGTCCAGTTTTCGTGGGATGTCTGCATCGGGAGCTCGCGTCGAGTTTCAGATTGGGTCTCGTCATTCTTATGATGGCCCCGTCAGGCCAACCCGAGTCCCCCGTACCCGAGTCTTACGTCTCCCCGAAGAGAACACTACATGCAACCGCCCAGCAGCATCGCAAAAGCATGGAGCACCTTCCGCCGACCAGGAAGGCTCGGCCAGGCAAAACCAGGAGGCCACGAGCCGGGCAACCCAGGTGGCCAGGCAACCAGGAAGTAATGAAGAAGGGGGTGGATGGGGAGAGGGTGCGGGGAGTAGAGTAGTCATCCAAGAGGAACAATGCCATAAACATAAACTGATGGCGCTCCGTGCGGATTTCTTGGATCTGCGCTGGGGCCCCCCGGCGGCGCCTCCGGCGCCGCCCCTGGCGCGCTCCGTACGCCTGGGACGGTGGTCCAGCGCAGATCCAGAAATCTGCGCGGACCGTCGAAAGTTTATGTTTATGCCGTTTTTTCTATTTCTAAATCAAGAAGGGAGGAGGAGGAGGAGGAGGAGGAGGAGGAGGAGGAGGAGGAGGAGGAGGAGGAGGAGGAGGAGGAGGAGGAGAGAGGAGGAGGAGGAGGAGGAGGAGGAGGAGGAGGAGGAGGAGGAGGAGGAGGAGGAGGAGGAGGAGGAGGAGGAGGAGGAGGAGGGAGGAGGAGGAGGAGAGGAGGAGGCTCCAGGAGGCCCGGAGAGGTCCCAAGGATTTTCTTGGGGGCCATGGGTCTCTCGTCGACGAAGGGGGGGGTCCCAGACCTCGGACGCTGTGATGTCTGCTCGACCTGCGTGCGACCCGCGCACCTCTGCATTTCCAGGCACAGGCTGCCGCCCGGGATGGCGTCGTGACAGCCCCAGAGCCCGCAAGCGGCCCTCCGATCCCCCGGAAGTCCCAGGTCACCCAACGAGTCGGGAGGAGGAGGAGGAGGAGGAGGAGGAGGAGGAGGAGGAGGAGGAGGAGGAGGAGGAGGAGGAGGAGGAGGGGGATCGGGCTCCAGGGGTGGCCGAGGGCCGTGCTGAGCGCCCCCCCGGAAGCGCTGTGGCGGGCACCTCCGGCGCCTCAGGAAAGCGTCCCTGCAGGGCTCATGGCGATTCCTTCGGCTCGATGCGACCTCGATCGATTCCGAATTCGACTCGGCTTCGGGTCTCCCCCACCCAGCACAGCGTTTTACTGGCCCCATAGGGAGCTCCACCTAAGGCCCCAGTGGCGGTGTTCGCATGCGTCTCCCCCACCTAGTGTAGCGTGTTTCGTGGCCCCATTGGGAGCCCCACCTAAGGCCCCAGTGGCGGTGTTCGCATGCGTCTCCCCCACCCAGTGTAGCGTTCCGCGGTCCCACATCGATCTCCACCTAAGCGTTTCCCCCGCCCAGCACAGCGTTTCGTGGCCCCACAGTGAGCTCCACCTAAGGTCCCAGTGGCGGTGTTCGCATGCGTCTCCCCCACCCAGGACAGCGTTTCGTGGCTTCACATCGGGCTCCACCTAAGGCCCGAATTGCGGCGTTCGCATGCGTCTCCCCCACCCAGGACAGCGTTTCGTGGCCCCACAGGGAGCTCCACCAAAGGCCTCGGTGGCGGCGTTCGCATGCGTCTCCCCCACCCCCGAACAGCGTTTCGTCGCCCCACAGGGAGCTCCACTTGAGGCCCCAGTGGCGGTGTTCGCGTGCGTCTCCCCCACCCAGGGCAGCGTTCCGCGGCCCCACAGCGAAATCCATCTGGGTGGGGCGACCTGCGGAGCTGCGGAGCCCTGCATGGCGTACTGCAAAGCAGGCACCGCCTCGTTACCCACAGAGGGAGACACCCTCACACATTTCGCGCCCCCCCAAAAGACACCCCACCGATGATTATACACGCGATCACGGTACCTCCTGCTGAATATGGTTGGGTCTTTCGCCAGGCTAATGTTTTCATCCAACATCCCCTTGTAGGGGGAAATCCCCTTGTAGGGGGGCATGCCCGACCTAACCCCATCGCCACGAAACATCAGGGGCGACGACAGGGGGGCAGTCGGCCACGCGCAGAGGGGTGTGTGTACAAGTCTCATGTCAGCTCCTCCAGTTCGATTCAATTTCGGTGGCTCCAGATGCCGCCGATTCGATTCGATTTCGGATTCCGGTGAAGGCTCCGATTTCCCATTGGAGGCAGACTAGCCTGCCGATGTCCGCCGATTCGATTTTTCCCGACTCAACTGCCGATTTCCGCCGATCCGATTCATTTCGATCGCCGGTCCGACTTATCGATTCGATTCTGGGCTCTCCTGGCTATAGGCAGAGGGGGGAGGGTGTCTCAAGAAGCACCCCTGCTTGTGAAAAGCCTTCCCCCCTTCCCCTATACCCCATTGTGCGCGCCGCCAAGATAGGCATGCGCATAGGGGGGATGCATCGACCCCCAATCGCCAATTGATCGCCGACGGGCCCGATACCCCCAACCTGCCCAGGAAGGTGCGGATTCACGATCGGGGGCCTAATTGTCGGCGATGCACTGCCGATTCCAGGTCGATGTGTCCCCCCCTATGCCAGCACCCCCCCCATCGCTGCCCCTCAGCGAAGTAGGCGGATCCTGAGGGAATCGAAGAACAAACAACGCAGAGAAGGAGCGCTGAGGATCATACCGCTACCCTTGCCTCGTGGTCGCTTTTTCGGGGCCTCCTCGGAGGCCCTCGTCGCCACCGCTGGATCCGCCTCGGAGTTCTAGTCAGAAGACACCCGGGGAGAGGTCTGGGGAGCAGCGGTATTGGTACCTCGTGGTTTCCCCCAAGACCTGGGGGGCCCAGCGCCGACCCGAGGAACGCGCGCGGAGCTCCCACGGTGTATGTTATGTTTGGTTTGGCGTTTTCTAGAAGCGTGTCCCGAGGTTTCCAGGAGTTCCCAGGAGTTCCCAGGAGTTTCCAAGGGAGTTTCCAGGAGTTTCCAAGGGGGTTCCAAGGAGTTTCCAGGAGTCTCCATAGTCTGAAAGGGGGTTCCCAGGAGTTTCCAAGGGCCCAGGGGGTGCCACAGAAGGACTCGGGACGGCGTGCTGGTCCTGAGGGGAGCCCCACGGGGCACAAGATCCGTGCCCTTCGGAGCCCGCTCGTTTCGCGCCGAGGTTCATGCTGCTCCCATTGTACTTCAGGACCACGTCCCAGAAATAATTTCGAGCACCCAGATGAATATCGAACAAGTGCCGAACGAGTATCGCCTCCCGGGGCCCGACGCGTGGAACACCTCCAGTTCCGGCACCTTCCTGGTGCTCGACATTCTTTCGGGTGGTCAAGGCCAAAGCAGGCTGGAGCATCGTAGGCCAAGCTAATTCGGCGGCCCGCTCCCGCCCGCGGCCCCGCGGCAGCGGGCGGCGGCCCGAGCGCGGCTTCCAGGCGCTGCGCTCGCTCTTTCTTGTTTTTGTGCTCAGCTCCTCTGGCTGCGGCCCGCGGGCGCCGACCGCTCTGCCCTCTCTCGTTCGGCGCCCCGGGTGGCCCCAAACTCCCGCTGCTCCTCCTCCCTGGGCCTCCTAGACGACGACGACGACGACGACGACGACGACGACGACGACGACGACGACGACGACGACGACGACATCGACGACGACGACGACGACGACGACGACGACGACGACGACGACGACGACGACGACGACGACATCGACGACGGCGGCAGCGGCGGCTGCGACTGTCGGCGGCGACCGCACCGGCGTTGGCGGGCGACGGCCAACCCACCCTGACACGTCGTTTGACGAATTTGCCGTTCCCGGTTCGCGAGAGGGCGCCGCCGCCGTCATTTTTGCGGGTCCAGGTCCGTCGGCTGGTCCTATGTCGTTTTCACTAAAGGGTGGTTTTCCAAAGGGAGGTTTGTCCACCGCGGGTAGATGGATTCGGGGTAGATGGGGGTCGGAGGATCGCGCCGCATCGCCGATGCATCGACGATGGGTGCACGGGAGGGTGTGCTGCAGCGGCGTTGATGTATCCTGGGTTTGCTCCTTTTCCTCCTCCTCCTCCTCCTTTTCCTCCTCCTCCTCCTCCGCCTCCTCCTCCTCCTCCTTTTCCTCCTCCTCCACCACCACGGAGAGAGGAGGTCCTGAGGCTTTCGCCGTCTTCGGCCTCCCGGAACCCCTGCGTGGGCCCCGGGAGCGTTCACCGGGACAGGGAGTTGGCAGATTGTCCCTTGGATGCCAGGGGGGGGAGGAGGAGGAGGAGGAGGAGGAGGAGGAGGAGGAGGAGGAGGAGGAGAGGAGGAGGAGGAGGAGGAGGAGGAGGAGGAGGAGGAGGAGGAGCAGGAGCAGGAGCAGGAGCGAGCAGGAGCAGGAGCAGGAGCAGGAGCAGGAGCAGGAGGCGGAGGCCGAGGCGGAGGTGGAGGCTGAGGCGGAGGAGAGGAGGAGGAGGAGGAGGAGGAGGAGGAGCAGGGAGGAGGAGGAGGAGGAGGAGGAGGAGGAGGAGGGGGAGGAGGAGGAGGAGGAGGAGGAGGAGGAG